ATCTGAGGGATATAAAACTATTAACAATAAATTCAAAACAATTTTTCATGATAGTGATGTTAGTGACTCTTCAATAGAGGAATTAAAATGTTATGAACAAGATTTAAACCTAGCAGAACTGAAAAATGAAGTATTACAATTTAAGACTTTTATAAGTAAAGAAAATATTATGTCGCCTGTATCCATGTGGTCATTTATTCAGGAAAATAATATTATTGCAACATTCCCTAATTTAAACATAATTCTGAGAATTTATTTAACACTTCCAATAAGCAATGCAAGCGATGAAAGATCATTCTCAGTAATGGCCAGAATAAAAAAATTTTTAAGATCCACATTAGGCCAACAAAAATTAAATAGTTTATCATTACTTTATATAGAAAAAGAGTTATTAAATAACTATTAATTATGACAAACTAATTGACGAGTTTGCAGAATTAAAAGTGAGAAAAAAGGCAATATAACTAATCAATCTGGGTATATTTGTTTAAGTATTATTGTTTGTTTTAATAAATTATGTTTATTTAATTTTTGTACATGTATATTATTTTTTTCCTTTTTTTTCTTGGAATCCGATAATTAAATAGAACTACGTACTATATGCTTTAAAACCAAACTACCAAACGCAAAGTATGTGTCATGACTGAAAAATAGGCCCGGAATTACAATGTTGCCTAGGGCCCGCTTTAGCCTTAGTCCGCCACTGGTTATAGTATATAGTTAGAATCAGACTCGAGCAGGTTAAATAGCATTACATAACAAAAGGTCTGTTGGATCCTTAATTTAAAAAAAATGTTTTTATTTTCGGATGTTTTTAATTGAAAATTTTTTACCCGCTCGAAAAATTTTTATTGCAATTTTAATCAACCTTTTAATGACACATGATTAATGCTTAATTGTTTTTTATGGGCTTTATATAAATAAAAAAACTGTATATGTATGCGTATGGGGTTTTTTTTTTTGGCTTCTTAAATCATCATCTCCGGGCGAGACTAAGTTATGAGGTGGCAACCCTAGGCATAGCACAAAAAAGGTTGGGAAACACTGCACTAAATTATTGTGGCGGTACGCTATATTTTTGTAAATATTAATTTTAATTTAGTTTCGTTTACCCTTTGTTCTATTCTATTTTCTTCTAGAACTTTCTTATCTATTCCCTGTCCCTTGGGTGGGATGAGCAGTTCCTAGAAATTTGAGGAGCAAAGGTGTAAGCAGGAGCCGGAGAAAAAAGTAAANTCAAACAGCCGTAGTCCGTAAACTATGATTCCTACAAAATTGATTCATAAAGAACGGAACGTATCTACCGTCTTATAGGGGGATCTACTGTATATGTCAAATATAAGTTACAATAAAACGAGTGTTATCAGATTAAAACTAAATCAAGCTTGAGAAGATAATCGTTATAAAGCATCCACTGCTTTTCACGTTCAGTAGTAAGCAGTTAATGTTTACTTCGTAATATTAGAATACAAATAATATTATGAACACGAAAAAGTGACGTATGCAACACGAACTGTATTTTTAAGAACTATTCTGTTTTAAACTTAGTATTATTTAGTTAAATAAATAATATATATATCATTATAAATAAATATTTTCGATGTTAAATTTATATATTTAGCAGAAGTATATACAAATTATCTTTGAAAGTATAGTTATCCAAATAGCAAGTGTAATGTGACAACACAGACCAGTGAAGTCATGTTTTAAACAGATGCTTCAAATTCAGTCAACGAAATATCGAAAAATTTGTAATAAATATCGGCATGCAGAATTAATTATCGTCTTTGTATAGCATACAAATAAATGTTTGAATAAACAGTTGTTCGGATCGGCTTAGCACGTAAAACGTATTTGATGTTTGTTTGTGAAATATTTTTTTACTAGCAGAATAGCTACACATATCAAAAACATATACTAACAATAGCGAAAAATAAGATTATTGGATTATAACGAGACTTATTCGTTTTTACAAACTTAAAAAATAAAATTAATTCTTTAAAAAATTACTTCAGACATTTTAGATGGGTATAAAAACATGTTAGATGATCTGCAAACTACGGCATTTAATATAGTAGAGTGATATATAGTAGACATATTTATATATAGTGGATATATAGTAGATATAGTAGATATTTATCANGCAGAGTGTACGG